GTGTGTGAGAACCCGCGTGCCGAGCCACGTGTGTGGGACCGGCCCACTCCCTACGGTGGCTGGGAGGGGAGGAGAATCCAATACGGTTAATTGACAGGCCGAGCCTTTTACATAACCGCCATGCTCTATGTAAGAGGTGGTGTCAGAATCCCCCCCCCCCTCCCCGAGCACTGCAACTCTCCCTCCCTCTCTAGTCTCCATGGCTCCCTCTCCTCTTCTGCACACACACACACACACACACACACACACACACACACACACACACACACACACACACTCACACACACACAATCCCTCTGTTGCTCCATCTCTCCCTCCGTCCTTCTCTACTATCCCTTCATGGATGTTAAACCAGTAATTCCCATCAGGATGAAAATGCTTCAGATGAAGGGAGCGTCAATCACAGCGCTTGTCCTCTTGATGGTTGAGCGGCTAATGTAGTGTGTGTGTGTGTGTACTCTCGCTTCATTTCCTCTCTCTGTAGAAACCAGGTGTGTGCTTAGCATCTGTTATCACGGCGCCGAGGGAGAGAGCAACCTCCCCTGGGCGACAGCTATAGCCTCCACCAGGTTGACTCTGTTCTGGGGAACACAAACACACACCTGCGCACACACACACAGCATCTCACTGCTTTCTTTTGCAAGAAATAACAACACAAACTCTTTTATCCACAATATAAATATATATTCATATAAAAAAAGAAATAAAAGATACATAGAGAATAGAAACTAAAATAAAAAAGAGGCACGTGTATACACCTGGAAACGAAGATGAGCAGATGGGCATTCAATTCATCTCCAATCAAAAACCTGATCCAGGTCCGAATGGCAGTGCAAGGAAAAACCAGCAGTTTGTTTTGAAGGAACTATTTATCTTCAACCATGTTAAACACCGACCACGCTCACCTAAGACATTGCTCATCCTTCTGGTGTTTGAGTTCTTCTGCATGTCACAGTTAAAGACACGGCCACGTCCTCTGCCAAGAGTGTCGCGTCATCTTCTCACTGAAAACCTACTTTAACATTTTCAGTTAAACGCAAAATGATTTTGGTGTTTTAGCAGCAATATTTCAATATTGTACGAATAAATTCAGATTCAGCCACTATGACAAACAACAACAAAAAGCACAAACCACTCTCCTGCCTACTTTTAGATGAAGACGAAGATCAAGCTAAGCATTGGCAGGAAAAAGAAAAAAAAAAAGTTGTGTTTTGCCAATACAGCTCTCGCATTACATGGTCTGAGGGTAAGGCATGGGGTTTGAGACATTCGAGCTCCATGATATGACGATCACAGATGGTGAAGCACATGCACGTCCAGACAAATCACTGTATAACACACGTCTGACTCACAGAGTCATCGGCTACTCAGTGGAGAGTCAAAGTGAAGCATGCAGTGATCTCTCATAGAGAGTATAGTGGAGGGCCAGCTTAGTCATCAATGCTGGCAAAACAAAAAATACAAAACATCCAAGTGTTGTTATTTAGCTGCGTCCTGAGCCTTGGATGGCTAGAGGGGCTGTTATTACATGGTTCACAAGTACAGTGACTCAACTAGTGCATAAAGAGAAGACGCTTGAAGCCGAGGAGGTTAACAAGATCGATGAGTGTTTGAGAATAAGCCGACTTTAGTAACCGGTAAACTGGGGGATGGGGTAAAGTCAGCTGTGTCCCCCCCGATTCAGGCCTGGAGTCTCTGGAGGTGCCACCCTCACGGGCTCTTGATCCCCGAAATTGTACCTCCTCCCCAAGTGAGACGCCCTGACCTCACAGAGTGCGATCACGGGGTCATACGATGCTGGATGATGTCCTTGGGCTTCTCGGTCAGGGGCAGAGCGGGGCTGTAGGGGAGCGCCAGTGAGGAGCCTTTGGCGGGGCTGCACAGACGTTGGAAGCGCTGTGGGGGGGGGTAAAAAAGAAGTTACTCTGTGTTTAGTTTTTTTAAATCTAGCTTCTGTGTAATTAGGTGAGGAAAATCCACATTCTATGTGTGTGATTTCTCTAAACATCTGAACAAAATGATGTATCATCAGCAGCACATGGTGGCGAATTAATTGTAGTGGTGTAACCTGCAGCAGGGTTCCCGGGGTGGTGGCCAGGGCGTAGACGGCCCAGATGGGAAGCAGGGAGATGGAGGAGAAAGTAAGGAGCCAGCCCAGCGTGGTGGCCCAGAATGGAGCGACCAGGCCTTTCCCCAGGCTCAACGGAGACCAGCTCACCAGGGAAAACAGAAAGGTAGCCTGCGGGCACGAACAAGGAGGACTGGGTCAGTGAGTATATCGGCGTCTTGATTGTGATTGCTGAGGGCACGTTTTCTGGTCGAGTATGAAAGATGAACACCACATAGGTCATGAGAGGCGGACTGATTGACAGGCATAACGCGTTATTTTAAATTAAACGTGTATACTGTTTCACAGCAAGCGACACACTTAAGGGTGCGAAAGCAGGTCAGCGGGGGGGAGGGGGTCACTCACAGTGCACACGGCTGGGGTCAAGTACTTCCAGCACAGCTTGAAGACAGACAGCGGCCTGTAGCCGGTCATATGTTCGATGTTGGCGCTGAAGCGCTCGGCTCCTGTGGCCGAAACAAGAACAAGGTTTGGTTAGGCATCGACGGTCAAAACTACCAAAAATAAGACCCAGGTAGTTAGAAATATTACTATTAAAGAATAACTACAAGCTGCCATGGGTACTTCTCCTGCTACATGTAGTGACTATCTGGAGTAGCAGTAGTTCTACGGTAATCTGAAGACATTCAATGCAGACTTGCTCCGTATTGAATGCGATATGGAAATGTTACAAGAAAGAAGAGGACGGTAAAAGTGGGTGTTCACTTTGTATTTGTCATGATGATGTATGTACGTGGCAGATTTCGCTCTTAAACAAACAACGTTTTTTGGAAATGCTCCAGAGCCCCGGGTCTGGCTCGGATAGGGGCTCCCTGGGGCTGCCAGACTGAGACCGAGAGGCGACGGGGCCCGGGGGCTGATTTAGGGCCTGGAGGAGACAGACAGGGGCCTGGCGAGGAGCCAGTCTCCTTACAACAGTGGGTAGCTGCAGCCATGTTAATATACTGTCTACTGACTCTAACTGGAATGTAGAGGGAGGGGAGGAAGTGGACTGTGTGTGTGTTAATCAGATTATAGGAACTACTTTCATTAGTGGAGTGATAAAAAAAACGAGTTTAATTCTTGGCACTGTTCTGTCTTTATATTTCATGTGTGTACTGACAGCTATCAAACTAAGATTTATTTAGCCTATTGCGCTTTGACAGAATTTAATTAAATTCAGACATGGAATGGGACGCTAGGACATGTTGTAAATATGAAATAAGTCTGTGATTAAAGGAGCTAAAGCATTTGGTGGGGCTGTAGAGGAGAGGAGAGAAAGAAAGGAAAGTATAGGTGATTAGAAAAGGAAAGGAAAAGAAAGGGAGAAGTAAGGAAGGGAGAGAATAGAAGAAAGAAGAGAGGAGAGGAAAGAATATACAGAAAGAGTGAGAGGAGAAGAGGAAAAGGAAAGGAGGTAAAGAAAGGTATGAAAAAGAGAAGGTGGTGAGGTGAGGAGGAAAGCAAAGCACATTAAAAGAAAGGAAATGAAAGGAGTGGAGGAGAGGGGAAAGGGAAATAAACAAAGAAAAGTATGACAGGAAAGAAATAGAGGGGGAATGGAAGTCAAATGGAAAAGGAAAGAAGAGGAGAGGACAGGCAAGGAGGAAAGGAAAGGAAGGGTGATGGAGAGATTTGTACCGTAGACCCAGCCGATAGCGACAGACTGGAAGATGGAGAGAAGCAGCAGGCTGGTTCCACTGCAGGAGAAGTGGTCGTAGATCTGGAACACATACAGACCACCCTGCGTCGTGGTGGACACAAACAGGCAAAAAGAGAAAGAACGAAAGAAAGAAAACTCCATTAATTATCATCATTAGAAAAACAAATTAGGTAGAGGATCATCTTCATCCTGAGTGTGACCTACCGGTGTGACCATGACCAGTCCCACCAGGAAGCAGACGACACAGACGAATAGCAGCAGCAGCTCTCTGCGGTGGCCTCGGCGGATCAGATGCGGGTACAGGTCAGTCATGGACGTCATCAGGGCCTCCAGACTCACAAACTGGGTGACGGAGAGGAGACGGGGTCAGTTTTACCGCACGCACAATACATCAATGCCATCGCGAGGGATTCATCAAAACTCAGTGTGTGCGTGTGTGTGTGTGTGTGTCTCTACCTGTGTGTCCAGCCCCAGCATGATGATCATGAGGAAGAAGCAGACGGCCCAGAGCTGGGGGACGGGCATCATGGCTACCGCCCTCGGGAAGGCAATGAAGGCAAGGCCGGGCCCTGAGAGGATGAACCAAAAAATATCAAAGTAAGTATGTTACTCTAACATAAAAGCAAGATGTAACCAAGTAGAACCACGATACGTATTAAGACATTAATGGTCAGCTGAATAAGGTCCTGAATGAGGTGTTGCTGTGTATTTTGTTTTTAAACTTCTGCTGTCTCCATCCCTGACCCTGTTTCACCTGACTGCACCACGGAGGCGATGTCCACGCCCTGCTCTTCAGCCATGAAGCCCAGCACCGAGAAGATGGCAAAACCCGCCAGGAAGCTGGTGGCGCTGTTCAGGAGGCACAGGAGGAAAGAGTCCCTGGAGGGCCACACGAACAAAACACAATTCATTTAGCATTATAGCCGAGACAACAACTTGAAGAAATGCATGTAGAAAAGTGCCTGAAACAGAATCTACTGAGGTGTGGAGCTCTGGCTTGTTAGTGTAGATACAAGCCAAGAGTTGAGTGCTTGGCTCTTTCTGTGTGTGTGTGTGTGTGTGTGTGTGGCAGAGAGGGCTGTTCTCTAAGGTGTGGCTCTATCAGTGTGTTTTCTCTGACCATTCCAGCCATTCCTTCTGGGAGCCACCTGACCAGCCGGGGCTTACATCTTACATTTCAGTGAATATGGCCTGTGTGAATTGGAGAGGAAGGAGACGCGTGACAAAAGGCTCTCACCTATAGCAGTCGTTGTTGTATTTGTTGTAACTGCCGAGGGCTGTGAGACTTCCCAAACCGATTCCATATGAGAAGAATATCTGGGTACCTGCATCCATCCATACCTGTAGAAAGAGAGAGAGGCGTTTATTAAAGCCAGAATAACGTCCCTGCAGTCTGTAAATCTACTTGACTTGGCAAACTATCGAAACTGTGTCCCCCGTGAACTCTCATTAAGCGTGTTTTTGTACCTCCGGGTCTGCCAGGCGGGTGTAGTTGGGCTTGAGGTAGTAGATGATGCCCTGGGTCGCTCCGGGCAGGGTGGCACCGCGCACCAGCAGCACAAACAGCATGACATATGGGAAGGTGGCCGTCAGGTACACCACCTAGAATGTACACGGCGCGCAGGGGATGTGGTCAGGACGGCACGGGGACAGAGAAAAAAGTAGGTCACCGTAATCTGTAAAGTTCAGATCCCGCTCACCTTTCCGGTGGACTTCACTCCCTTCCAGACACAGAAGTAACAGACGAGCCAGACGATGGCGAGGCACAGAGCCAGCTTCCAGCTGATCGGACCCAGCTCGTCTAAACTGCTGGAGAGACGGAGCACCTCGCGCCTAAACACACACACACACACACACACACACACACACACTGCTATTAATTTATAATCAATAACACACAAAAAAGGTGAGAAATCAAGAAGCTACACTCACTCCCAGAACTCAATGACAGGGGAGGTGGCGTTCTCAGGCAGGCTGCTCCCGTTGGCTGTCTGGTTGTAGTGGTCGAACAGGACGCACGCTTCTGCAGGAGAACACACACAACAATCTAAATTTTACACAGTGGACTCAAAGTGCATCGACAGACGCCTCGAACATCCTGTTGTTACTGACCAGTGTTCCACGTGTTGTTACAGTGCGACCAGGGCAGCACCGCCTGGAAGCTGTAGGACAGGTAGAAGAGAGCCCAGGCCAGGATGACGATGTAGTACACGCAGCCGTGCAGGATCATCACCTGGCTGGCGTAGCCGAGACCTGCGGAGACAGGGAGGAGAGATGGAAGCTGTGTATCCTGGTGCGATGATTTAACAGAAAGCAGACCCCGTCGGCAGGATTACACACGCAGATGAACGTGTGGGTTGTTCACAGTAACAAAAATAAACACGCTCCAAAGCGTTCAACTGCATAAATTCTATTATCAGATCAAAGTTGAGTTCCAGATGAGAGCGTCCATTAAGCCAGACACTCGACTCGCAGCCCACATCGAGCACATCTCCATTCAGAGTGAATGATGGTCTTGTGAGGCCTCGAGTGGGTTAGAAAGTGTGGGCTGTTTGCCGACACAAATGGCTTGTTTGTGGTGTCCTCTAATGAACTTCGGGCCTCTATCTGACGATGGCATATTAATTGTGCAAGCCAGTGAGGAATTCCCACAGAAGCATTTCTTTGTTTGTCTGTGTACAAACACGTATAGGCGAGCACGTGCTACATATTTTCATCACAGCCTCCCCCCCCCCAGCTGGTCTTCACACGACAGGCCGTCAACACAATACCGGCAAACCCCGTGTATGTGTGCAAATATGCCTCAACCTGTGCACATAAAAACCAGGCGTGACAACAGTACAGCATGGTCGACCGCTGCTGTTTGTACTCATGTAGTTTACCCAACAATTAATCATTGTGCTGCACCTATAAATAAATACAGCCGGGGAGATCGGCGGATCAAAGTCCTCGATATTGCCTTTACTGAATGGGCGGGCAGGGCATTGGGTTTGCATTGATGTGGACATGGGGATGCTGGAGCCAGCACAGAGAAAGATTAGGGCGGAGACAAAGACAAGGGAAGGTAAAGGAGAGAGAAAGTGAAAAGACAGATGTTGGCGAGGTTACATCTATCTCGTAGGTTTGTAAGGTAGCTCCAGAGCAGATGTTAATATCATCGTCAGTTTAATCAACGGCCTCCACGGAGCCTGGGGACGTGTGTCAATGTGCAACACAGCATCAGCACAAGCTGCAGACCAACATAGCCGATTAGATAAGCCTACCTCCAAATAATGGACAGATGGTCCTCCAGGCGCTGACTCCTCCCAGGCTGGTGTACTGTCCCAGCGATGTCTCCAGGAGGAACAGGGGGACGCCGCACAGCACCAGGAACAACAGGTAGGGTATAAAGAACACACCTGGGCACACACACACACACACACACACACACACACACACACACACGGTGCTATCCTTGTGAGACCTTCTCTGATTACATTCAACACAACATTCAACCCTAAAATAACCTTTACCACAGTTTAAATTAAATCTGAACCCGACAACCCAGTAATAACCACAAAATGATATAACCCTGTTATAAAACCTTATTCATTAAGTTAACCCTCCCAGTCAACCATCTGACCTGACAAAAACAGTAAAAATCTGTGTAATGGACAGATTTTGGAGAACTTTTATCATATCATAGGAGTAAAAATACGAACTAACAAACGCCCCTAGTTTTAGAGGAAGAGAAAAAGATGGCGTGGGAAAACAAAAAGGAAAAGATAAGTGCAGATAACACACAGAGAGCCAAGAAAGAGGGAGAGAGAGAGAGAGAATTTACAGAATGTTCTTCACACTCTGAAGCTGAAAGTCCCTCTCTTCTTCCCTATCCCACACGCTTTACCTCCTCCGTTCTTGTAGCAGAGGTAGGGGAACCTCCAGACGTTGCCCAGGCCGATGATCTGCCCCGCCACAGCCAGGAGGAACTCAGCCTTGCTCGCCCACTGCCCCCTGGCGTGAAGGCCGTCCTTGGTGGCTAATTTCTCGTTGGGGAGGCTCCCTTGGTTGAGTTTATTCAGCAGCGGGTCTCCTTGATGCGGACGCAGCTGGTCGGCCATGACTTGTTCCGGAAGAGACACCCACGCGCCCCTGAAGAGAGGCAAACACGAGCAATTAGGAGGGAAAGAATGAATGTAAACATACGCAATCCAAAGGGAACACAAGGCACGGTTCACCCACATCGTCGCAGCCGGGATTGTGCGACAAGACCTTGGGGGTTCGTTCTGGCAGTTGGTTTGGCCGGCTCACTTATCTGTGATGTGCGTCTCATGACGAATATTACGTGGGCGTGTGTCCTTTATCTGTACTCTGCAGCACACTCAAGGACCATTGAGGAAAATTGGAGGCAATTTCTCATGCCATGAATTATTTTGTTTGTGAAAGAACACACAGATCTTTTCACAGGTATACACAGGTATATGTCAAGAAAGGAATGTAAGCGTCTTTAATTTCACCTGTCGAAATGCCTGCTGTGAAAAGGTTCATCCATTCCTATTTCTTTTTACTTGACTTTAGAAAGCATTTATCGATAGTCAGACTTAAACCAGATGAACATATATTTATGTTTACAAAATCCAATTGAACTTATTGTTAGTATTTGTTGTCTCCTGTAATATCTGAATATTTCACTAATGGTTCTATAAGGACCTTTGATCAGTTGATAGTATTTCTTTTCACATTTTTGTCATTTTATTTCCATTATTGATGCAGGGGTTGCTGATGAATTTTCGTTTTATTATTATATTATTATTATATTATAGTGAACGTGACCTCACACAGTCTCATCCCCCCCCCCCCCCACATGGTTTCCTGGTGTGGCCATGTGTACACAATACAACGACCACAAGCCGCCTTTCACTTAACATTTTGACTGACCGAAAGAAAAAGAAAAATTACGACATTGTAGCAACACATGGGATCAATCACCGGAATACACATGTAGCGGTTTCCACGGGACCGGTTCTGCTCTCCGTGCGGATCTAAACAAGAGAGGCGTGATGAAGCGAAACGATGCTCTCTAATAGATGCCTAAAACAAAAGCACATTCGTCAATTTGCACATTCGTGCTCACTCCGTGCGTCGCATGAAAGGATAAATTACAGAGAATTCGACATCACGGTGCCTACCTCTGCGTTTCCTGTCGTTCTCCACACCGCGAACGCCCCCGTGTGCGGGAGGTGAAATGGTTTGTTCCAGTCAGGGAAACTGTGTGAGAGGCTGCTGGGCCAATACCCAAATGTAAGAGGGGCTATGATTGGACGCAGCCAAGTCGCGTGGAAGCGTACCGGTGTAGGTTACTCAATGATAGGTTATGAAATGACTTTTCTTTTATATAGAGCTCTGATAACAACAGATTATATCACAGATGGACTTGATAGGCAGTATGAATGAGATCTTCTACATTATGATGTTTAGACATGGTTACTGAAGATGTAAAGATGGAATATAATAAAACAGTATATGTCAGGAAATAAGTAGATGGATTGTACTTCCTTTTTTTTTAAAAACCTCTCATTCTGCTGCTACCTTGGGCTTCTAAATATGACCTTATACATTTGAATCGAATATTATAATACAAATATATGGCCTGGACTATTTTGCTATTTTGCAATACATAATAATAATCACTGTCGTCACTTCCAAGTCAAAATCAGCAGACACGACTTTATGTAATCACTTCTTAGAAAAAGCAGAGTTGAATTATTTGCATTTTTATATATATAGTGCTTAAACTTGAGTAAAGCAACAGCCTCCGGCTCCCCATTGTGGACTCTGTCCTGTAAAAGTCTCGGCGACTTAACCATTTAGGCCACCTCGCGCAGCTCTCAGCACATTTAATAGGCTGTGTCATTGCCTGTGCCCATTCAGCTGAGCATTTATAGCCATAGTAAAAAAAAAAAAAAAAAGTCCAGGCTCCATTTAGCGCTCTGCTCCAAGGACTTCATTTCAGAAAATTACATTCCACTGCGTAGACATATTAGGTTATATTAGCGGGTTTATAAATCACATGCAAAAGTGTGCGTTGTACTCTGACTTGCGGATATATGCACACATGCATACCAGTGTTTCAGCGAGGAGGAACACCACTTTTCAAAAGTCATCATTCATCATTCTAAAGCTGATTACTCGGATTTCAGGGTCTTCATTATTCATTGTATTCTACACTGCATGTGTGCCTTTTGTCTCTACATCTTAATGTATCACATTACAGCAACGAGGACTCAACAAATGGCCACTCTTACCGATCAGCCTTTATGTAGACGACACACTACTTTACCTACGAAGCTGGTTTTGATACAGCATCAATCGAGCTTAATAAAAGATGTACTGAGTTGGGCAAATGTAGCTTAAGTCTGCAATTAACTCCTTCTATGAATTTATGTCACTATGAATTTATGTCACAATTTACTTTTGTCTCCCTCATTAGAAGAGAAAATTCCCCCCCCCCCCCCAAAAAAAATCTAAAAAGTTAAGGGTCAATCGTCAGGAAGTGGTAAAAAGTCATGCAATCATATCCAATGCGCACATTCCTCAACTACACATGTGCACTCCATTCACATACTCACACAGCTTACATGTCATCTCTCAAAATGCAGATTCTTTGCTTCCCAGGGGCCAAATAAAACACCAGCGGTAAAGGGCCCTTCAATACAGTCGCCATTGTTCTGTCCTGACAAACCTGTAGCCCCTGTAAATGTGGTGCCGCAGCGTGTAACTCAGACCAGGCATAGCCGTACACATTTACTGCGTGCTTTACGGCTGCTTTTATTGGTGTCTGGGATCCAGGGCGAGGGCAGTGGGTCGCTGATATACAGTGGTACGCATTGTGAAGCTCTTCAGGCCTGCAGCTATCCTGTTGTGAAACGGCAAAGGTTTTCAAAACTTTTAGTGGGGAAGCAACATTGCAGCATACAGATGTCAAGATCATCTGAGAAGCGGAAGGTCTCGGGTTAACTATGGTGTCCAACCAAATGGTATATGAATGTCATCCAGCGTACAATAACATCACCATTCTTGCTTTTCGCATGCCACTTTATGCTATGTAGTCTGTGTACTGACTGCATTGTAAACGCATATGCTACACTCGCAGCTGACTTGCTCAAAAGCACCTCAACACACGCGAATGTTTGACAACATGAGATCATCTATTTGACTACAGTCTGCCAGCTATCAGACCAGACCAGAAAGCTGAGTGTAATTCAACATTCGGAGGATAATTCAATCTTTTTTTATGCACTCAGACCAGACACATTAATCTGCAGCATCCAACCTTCAGGTCAAACACACTGTAAGATATTTAAGTGGTCTTCTTGCCTTGTTTGAACCCTTTGAAAGAGGAGTTCCTGATCCTGTGGTCTACATCAGACCTCTAACTCCTTACCTCCTACCCTTACTCTAGTTCCCATGTCCTAAATAGGTAAACATTCCTGTGGCTTTGCCCCCTTCCTCTTCAACCTATGTGAAAAACATACCTTGTAAAAGAGTAGTCTCTTAAAAGCAACCTCTGGCCTGATGTCTCCTCTGAGGCTTGTGGTGGGCCAGATATTTGGTGCTCTGATAATCTGTCCTGGAGATTTTATGGGAATGTTTTGAGGGGCAATTCCCTCCATGAGTCTTCTAACCACAGTGGGTAGTCCCGTGATGTGTTCGTGCTGCTTTCACAGATTTGTGGGGCTTCACTGTACATTGAAGGTAATTTATCCAAATCTCAATATTTTCACCCCCAAATCCTTACTATCACATTATCAAGCACAACACCTAACATGTGAGTATTGTTCTGTGGGCATACAGTTCCCCCCCCCCCCCCCCCCTTTTTGGACTGAGCCAGGCTAGCAGATCCTGTCTATATGCTAAGCTAGTTAGCGTGCAGACACGAGAGTGGTTTCACCTTACTCACAGCAAGAAAGCGAATAAGCATATTTCCAAAAAAATGCCCGGCTATTCCTTTAATATGTCACCGACCACATTCTCCAAACAATCACTCATGCAAAGGAGGGCAAAGCCCACAGCACAGAGAATCCTCTTGACACAACTTCCCGAAACTAAAACAAACAAAATACACTAAAAATGTAATTTAGAAAAGCTGTCTGACAATCCGGCTCCTGTCCGCACTTTAAATCCCCCTCATGCATCGAGATTATGGTGGTTTTATTAGCATCATAATCAAGAAGCCAGCTGCCTGTAAGTACAGTACATAGAGTTTGAAATGAGCACTTGTTTCTAGGCAAACAATGCACAAAGTTGTGATAATCACACCTCTAGTAACACATCTTATTTAGTTAAGTATTAGATCATGCAAAAAGAAACAAGTATTTTTTTTTACCATTAGGACTGTCCTAATGCTGAACTTACCTCGGTTCACGTGGAGACTCACTAAGCCTTCAATGGAGCGCCTTAATGAGACGGATTAATTAAGACCCTGTTCGCCCGGATCTTTTTACAGAAAAGGGAGTACACCCTGTCTCTCCCTCGCCCGTCCAGCCTTTGCCTGTGATGAAACAGGCTCTCGGGGAAACCGAGGCAAGCTAAACAAACCCGGATTCCCGCTGCTCACTGAGCCTGAAGCTCGGGGCTAAAGGATCATGGGAGTCTCAGACCTCATTTCATCTTACATGTACCGTCAACCCTTCAGCAACATTGAACACTGGTCACTTTGTGTAAAGCGACAATGTTGCCAAAGTTTAACATGTGTGACAAATAAATGTAACACTGCAGTGACAACGATACATTTGACTTTATAATGTATTGCACATGATACCAGTGTAATATTTGATACAGATTAACTTGTACCAAGCGGTGCAAGTATGATTTAGCCAAAAAAAGAGTGCCAGGAAGTCAGCTGTACAGTGATGTGAGGCTCCCAGACATTCACACTCTGGGCTGAAGTTGCGCCCGGGGAGGAATGCAGCGCTGGATTATCTCAAAGCATCAAATAATAAGCCCCCGTGTCCGCCACCACTGACAGCAAACACAAAGACTCCTGTTTTTCATTCCAGTGGAGAATAAAAGACACGAACAAAGCTCTGCAGGGATCTCATTTCGGAGGCAAGTTGATGAATTAACTGGATGGAAGCTGCTATATTAAACCAACAGAAATATTCATTTGATTAATTTCCACTGACTAGTACCCCACGTATCTTCACGTTGTGGGGTACCTGCAACGTAATTATATCATTACAGGCCATTGCATCCATTATAAACCAAGTTGATTTTTTTGCTGACTTGACAGCTCTCACCGGCGAGGTTTTGCATTCCATAGCCAGCCGTTTCATCCGCTTGGATGCCTGGAGACTTAATTGAGGTTAAGCGCCTCGGTCAAGGGGCCTCTGAGGGCCACACTGCTCCACTGGGGATTTGTGCAGGGGGCCCCCCTTGATTCTCTGACAAGAAAACAGGGAAGCGTGTTGTGACAAAACTATCTTGATGAGAAAAAGAAAGCAAAAAGCGAAGGGAGGGATGATAAGATCACATCCTCTGTACTGTATGAGGGTATGTGGGTGTTTTAAAGACATAAGGAGGAGTTCACGATCTACAGTTACACACAAATTACACATGGTGGAGAGTTTTTAAAGCCCAAGATTTTGACATTTATTAGCATCAAAGTTCTAACTGTTTTAGGGCAGAAACATAAATTCAATTAAAGGGATTTTGTATTTCTCCACCAGCGAGCGCAGGCCAGGACACTGAATCGCAATCACAATGATTAAACCTACAGTAGAGAGCATCTTTCACACACACGTTTCCCATTAAGTGACCACATACTATTTCCCTAATGAGAGGATGACACATACACAACTCAACACCCAGCCTCCTGCAGCTGTATCAGCTAATTGCACACAGCTATGGTTCATAAAGACACCGGCATCAGGGTACTGTGGAACTACGTGGATCACGGTGGCTGTTCAGTGCTGTTGGGGGGGAAAACTGGGCCCATAATACTGGTTTTTAGTTATTCATTTAAGGCCTCCTGCCATCAGCCCATCAAAGGGGCAGATTGCTCAACGCCGCCAAAATCCCGCCATACTGCGATGACAGAAAAGGGCATATTTGCCAAATCCGAGTAGCTGCCTCAGCACTGTGGTCGGATCACACGAAAGGGTTGGAAACATCTGCGGTCCAATTTGGCAGGCGTTACAAAGTCCATGCAGCTAAATAGGGACCACGGATAAAACACAAGTGCTGCAACACAGATGACCTCACGTTGTAGTAGCACAGGGAGGGGAAGTAGCTCTTTAGGTGAATAAATGAACCAAAACGGTTCATTGTGCAGCCTAAAAGGTCTATTCTGTGACCTGTTTTGACCCCGTCAAAGAATCGGAATCCATAAAATCCAAACGATAACCAACCCCAATTGCAGTTATTTAATTTACTGTAATTTAATGCACCTGTATCTTGGTACTGTTGAGACTCCTGCTTAACATTTTGCTGCGTCATGCTGATAAAGCCAGAGCACAAAGAAGTCATTCACCCACTACAGCAGAGAGGAATGTCATACGAATCAATACATGTTGGTACAAGATGATGGCTTTAACGTGGTGGAATGGACATTTTTGGAGCATTTCTCTTTTAAGCCACTTTATATTTCTACTCCACCACATTTATTTCAATTTTTCAAATTTAGATTGGAAATGCAAAACATTTAGAAAATGAATTACAAAAGTATACAAATTATA